ACTCATGTTTACCTTTTTGCATTTGATGGCATTATACTTTCCAGACGATTTTGAATAAACGAGATCAGTCAGAATTGATGCATAGGGTGTAACGCCAATTCCGCCGCCAATCAAAACAGCCACATCAAATTCGTGCCATTCCTACAGAGACAGTACAGGACTGCTGCATAATTTTCAGAAACTATTCAAATATTTAAAAAATACTCTAGTACAATTTTTTTATACCAAACCTTCTCAAAATAGCTTAACAAAACAAAAATCAAAAAGCTTAGAAAAAAATTAAAAATTAAAAGAAGTGCGACAGAAAAAACCTTTACCTGATTACCATCACCATATGGTCCATTTAGATGAAGAACAGGGTAGGATGAGGCGTTACTCTGGGAGCACGCAATTTCGTTACGAAGACTCCAAGTCCATGGACCAACTGCCTTAATATACAGCTCCAATACAGGATCCTGTGGTGCAGATGCCAGAGAGAAAGCGTGCATCTCGTTGAATGTGCATGAAAAAGCTGGACAAGACACACGGACCCACTGTCCAGAACGGAAGCGGAACTGATGAGGGCGTTTGAATTTTATGTAGATTATGTCTTAAAATTCAGGTTTATTGAAGTCAAATAATTAATATAAAGTCAAGTTACAAGGTTATAAAAAGAATAGTAACCTGATGGCAGAATTTCGGCACTTATAATTTGAAGTTTCTCATACTGACGTCTGAGGCCAACAATACGGTCGATGATGAATAGGACAGAAGGCCCGATAACATAGTAAAAGAACTTTGGAGACTAAAAATGTAAATTTGCAAAAATTCAAATATTGTCTTGCCATATGTTCTATAACCAAGCAAAACGGTGAAATCAGAAAACTAACATCTAGCAGTTTTGGAAGACCATGAAGAATCGTCAGCGCGTACAAAAGAATGTTGAGAAGATGAGTAACGCGAAATGCATGATAGGCCTGCTTCAAAACTGCAGGGGCTGAGAACACGTAAATTATGCTCATAATTGCCACCAATAATATACCCGTTATACCGGTGATTGTTCCATAAAACCAGTAGCTAATAGATGGCAAGAAATTTGTCCTAAAACCAACACCATCACGTTTTAATCCTACTTTTTGCTTCATTCTCTACATCCAACAACTTTTACCTAAACACAGCATCTTGGAAGAGGCACTGTAATCCTTCTTTACTCTGCGTCGCAACATGGTAGAAGTTCACACAATGCCCTACTGTATGTACAAGGGCCCAGAAACCGGCAGTAATTGCAACAATTTTGTGAAATGCAATAGCTGAGTCAAATGGAATATACGCCTTCAGCGGTGTTTCGCGAGCTAAAGTTATGATATTCCGACAAACAGTTGTTAGAATTAGACCCATGCAAAACGAGAGCGAGGCAGCAGCACCTCGAGTAATTGCAATGCCAACGCCCATTACACGGCGTAGGTCTCGATGCTCCGTCTCATAACGATAATCTATAAAAATTTTCATTCAAATAATTTCTGTCAACATAAACCACATAAAGTGTCAATGTAATAAAATTCTGCCAAGGGCTTCTGCAATAAAACAAGAAAAAACTCACAAAAATAATTTTAAAAAAACAAAACTCACGCCAAAATCTTTCGAAAAAGAGCAGAAGATTGATGGCCGAGAAGATGAAGAGGATAACGATATGTTGACGATAACTTTCTATGTAGGCGAGCCACTGCGAAAAGCAGGTTTCTTTCGACTCGCTGCCAGGTTCGAGCGTAAAACTGCTGATACTCTGAGTTCTAAAAAAATTTGAAAATATCCCTCAGCAATTCGACCATTTTTAAACTTGACAAATAAAATCGACTTTTAAAAAGAAGTACTTACTCTTCCAAATTGATCTTCATTTTCGCACCTCTCATATGCACTCCTACAGGTCTATTTATCTTTTCATTCTGATGGAATATAGTTTCCAGGTCATCGCTGTTCAGCACTGATCGATCGGACCCAATACCAGAACTTTTTAAAACTGATTCCAGAACAGCATCTTGGACAGCCTCGTCTACCCTTACACCAGCAGCACAATTCAAGGACTTGACAAAGTTACAAAATTCGGCACGCTCTACGCAACCTGTTCCATCTCTATCACACATATCAAAGAGAATTTTCATTTTATCGCGTAAAGTTCCTAGAAAGAAAAACAATTTTAAGCATAGTAAAAAACAAAAAAAATTCAAAAGAGTCAGTTTTGTGTTTTGAAAACATTATTTATCAGCCAAACACAAGCAATTGAAGTAATAAATTGACTTTGAAGGTTTCTGGATTGGTTACAATGTTGAATATATTTTGAATTACTGTTTTCTTATGACTTTTTAGTATACATTTAGTAGGTTTAGTTTACAATTAAAAGTCTTTGACATTATTTTCTAACGAACCTTGAGTGAAGAGAGCCAGTACCCTAAAGAAACCAGCAAAAGTTACATGAGTTTCACCATTTCGTGCCATACAAGCAAACATGCGTTCTACAAAAAGGTCGGTTTCAACCATTCCGAGAGCTTCAGCCAGCTCTGCCTTGGTCAAAGCGGTGTTCAAAACTTCCTCTGATACTCCTTCATTTATGTTCTGCTCTCCATCCGAGAAGTTGGATTTGTTAAATAACTAAAATTTGATTCGTTGAACAACAGGTAAATATCAGATAATATACAGGCAATGTTCTTTGAATACTGCTGCAAGAAACCTTTGCGTAGGCTTCACGGAAGAATCTGTCAAGTTTTGCTTGACGACGTTCAGTGGTTTCAGCAATGTCCAAAATCACATTATGGGGCAATCGTTGTAATCGAAACTGTTTCCCATTAGTCTCCATGCATTCCCGAAGAACCCGGATCAATTGCCAACACCGATATTCACTTGACAGTCTTAGTAACTAGAAATCAACAGAAAAAACAAACATTAACGTTAATCTAGTTCAAAAAAAAAAGACTACATGTTAAGAAATGATTTTAACGTTACCACGTCGTGATGTTTCGGAGCAGAAATGAGTAGAAGTGGTTCATGATTTGATGACGGACCAGTTTCAGACATTATTACTTGTAAAATTTCTAGCTCAGTTAGATCGAAATAGCGTAAAAGGCCTCCTCTTGGTTTCTCCACTCGTATTGCAGGTTGCACATCAACGACACAAACCACTGTACGACAGTAGTTTTCTTTCACCCATTCAATTGCTGAAAACTGATAAGGTTAGGAGACGAAAAAGCTGGCGACAGTAATATTCACCTGTCATTCGTAGTTTTTCTTTAGTTTCGCTCTTTATTGTATCAATTATCATAGATTCGTTACGGTAATGTTGCTCCATTAACTTCTTTTTCAGACACGGATGTAAACCGCCACCCATTTTTCGCCGTTTTTGAATCAGGAGATATCCGATGCCAATACAAACTGTAATTCAAATACTATCAGTGGAAAACAGTTGTTCAAAAAGAATAGGTACGAAAACTACATCTCTTTCAAATTTTTGAGAGAAATTGTTTACTGAATTTAAAAACCTAACAGACTGTGGATTTCTACTTGACAAACAAAAAAACTCACTTATTGGTATAATTCCAATAGCAATGCAGGAATAGATGTACGTAACTTCGTTCCCTGTGAAGTGATCCATTCGCATAAACGGTACACATGATTCAAGACCTGTTGAATTCACATGGAAAGGTTGCGGACAAGGATCGCCGTTTTTCCAGAAGAACACCTGTAAAAAAAAATGATTTTGCCTGACTTACTTGCAAAAGCGAGAAAAAAAGTACAACTTGTGATACAAATAAGAGTCCATATTCTGTTCAAATAATCAAGTCTTACACAACGTTATTTTGGAATTACTCACATTCTCTTGAAGTTCTTCGCCACTGATGGAAGTGGTTTCCCGTATAACATCTTTTAGTGTTACTGAACGGATTTTCTCTATTTCCTCGTCTGTGAACAGACTGAAAAATAAAAATAATTTTCCAGAAGCTGCAAAAAACCTTTTGCTTGAAAAAGAAGTATAATAAATAATTTTTTTTGGCTCCAAAATAGATAGTAACTATCACAAGAACTGTCCATAAAACTAACCCGTTAAGAGTGTTTTCGAACCAAAAACGATCGCCATCTCTAATTCTAATAAACTGATCACGAATTATTGCTGAAAATAGTTCACCAGGTCCATGTTCATTAGTTTCCAGCATACCTCCTACGTAGGCATCCAAATTAGAGATGTCATCGCCATACAGGTGTGCCAATTTAACAAACATCTAAAAATAAAGTAAAATTTGCACGAATGTCTGACCAGCTAAAACCGTCACTTTACTACTATTTGCAGCAGTAAAAGATCAATGCAAACCATTGGTTTTTCTGCAAATAACTCAGGATTGATAGTTGACCAGTTTCGTAGCGGTAAGTTGAAACTTTTTCGAAGCACATTATATGGAGGCAAGCCGTTGTCACGACCTCTCATTATTGAAAGTGCAACAGCATCAAGCCGAGTGAAATGCATTGGTCCGAAAACGTAATCTAAATTCCAAATTTAGTCAAAGACAGTCCCAAATACAGTAAAACTGTACAGAAAGTTCTAGACCGTAACCGATTCTGAAAATTTTCAACTAGAATATAATTTATCTGAGAAAAACGACAAAGTATAAAGATAAGAAGTAATTTGATTTATTTACCACGAAGATCTTCAACGACAACTACATCATCTTTTTCAGCAATTTGTGATGCCATTCCTAGCACAATCTCGTCAACTGAGTACTCCCGCACAATTTCTTGAGCATTCCACCAATTCTGGCATAATCGTAACGCTGGAAAACCACCGACATCATCGCGAAACTCGCACTTATTTTTCATATTTTTACGAAGCAACAGAGCTGGTGGAATCTATAATAATTATGACAGCATATCAATCAAAAATTTCTGACAAAATTCTTAATTTTACAGCATTAAATGGAACTTTGAGGAAATATTAGATCAATTTCTGCACATAGATAACTCTGATTTAAAGATGAACAGTTACCAGTGAATGCGGATAGCGAAATGCCGCGGTGGCAAAAGCATGCGATACCCCAGGAGGTACGTGGGGTTGATACCTCGTGTACGGTGGTATAGCATCTGAGTCTCCGAGAAGCGCCGGCAGGAAATCGTACAAGGTGATCTTTTGAAAAGTTGCAATTACCCATCGTCGTGCAGCCTATAAATGGCGTAAAAAATGATGAGACATATAATTATTAGAAACTAGTTTAAAAAGTCATTCTA